TATCGCGTCGTGTCAGCTTAATGTGGGAGGAAAGCCCAAAGTGATGCAGGTCTCAGACGTTTACCACTTCGGTGAAACCCACGAGCACAAGTATGGTGCTGACAAACCTAGAAACATAATCGGGGCGAACCGGGATTCGAACCCACAACCATAGGTTTCTGGCGTGCCCAAGGGACCACTTCCAGTCTGAGTCCAAACAACAATCAAAACAGTGGAAGCATTTGACATCACCAAAGAAGGCGGCCCGTGAAGATCCGGGGTAGAATAGGTCTTCAGCAATCCATGCTTGCCGTATAAGGCGACTATGTTTGTCGTAAGAGGCGACTAACGGGATCGGGTGGTCAACTCGCTGACTTGGTTGATGCATGTCATCGTATCCCAATTGCGTAGATCGATGCTCATGTTGTCAATCACTGGATTGTCTGGTCCAGACTCGATTATTTACAGACCACCGTCATATAGCTGGAATATTGCTGAGTGCGGCGTTAAACAACAAACACTAAACAAAACAAACCAAAGAAGGCAAGGACTGTCACATCAACTGGATAGGTCACGGAACCCCGGTGGTCTATCTTTAAGAAGGCCGGAAAATAAACGGAGCATATTATGCTGCACGTTTGAGACAATTACTGGGTTAAATTAAGACTAAGAGACGTGGAAAACTGAGAAAAGGTATGCTCTTCCACCGGGACTATGCGCCAGTGTACAAAACAGTCATTGCCATAGCCACCACCCAACAGTGTGGCTTTGAACTCCTTCAGCGCCCAGTTTATTCTCCTGATCTGGCTCCGTCAGACTTCCACCTGTTCCCAAACATGAAGAAAACTTTAGACCCATTTCGACTCGAATGATGATGTCATCACGTCTTTGCAACCGCCAGTGCCGTAGCCAGCCGGGGGGTCAGGGAGGGCAGTTGCCCCCTAGATTTTTTATAGAAAACAGTTTTATTTGAATCAAGTTGGGGACAAGTGATACTTGTACAAATATTTGTGCCTTGTTCTACCCTTTCTTTCCTCGATGTATCGGCCAGTATATAACTGTGTTCATATAAATTTTATTCTGAAATTTAAAAATGCATCTTTCAATATATATTCATGAAGACATCTCCTCGACTTTAAGGTGATGCACGGCGCAGTTTGGATGTTTGCGTGTTTTGGGGGACCACGATACTCACACACGTGTTCTTTTGTAAAATGTGAACAGCACACAATGATTGTGTCCAGGAGTCGTACGTTTCGCCCTCGAATGGTTGCTCAGGGTGATGACGGAAGACAAAACTCAGGGGTGAAGTGTAAGACGACAGTAGCCATGTTTATTGATGATGGGTTGAAATGAGTCGAAAGGGTACGGGTTGATAATTAAATAGCGCGACAGAACGCACTCCGGGACCGAGTGCGGAGACCCAATCTATCACTTACAGAAGTCGGACGGCGATTCTTCGTTGTAGACGTGGTCGTTAGTGAGGCGGCGGCCACAAGAAGCCGCTTCTGTCGATGATCTGGGCCCGCCTTCTGCCCGACACTGTCAGTCAGGTTTTGTAGATATGGGTATTAAGTCACGTGGTGCAAGGTCAGTGACCCATGTACATGTACATACGTCACATCCGGCGACGTAAGGGGGTGTTCTTTGACACTTACAGATAGCGCTGGGTGCTGCCCAGAGGGCGCTTATGATTAGAGGGGACACGCCGAATGTTTGTATACGAAGAGGATAGAATTTCGGTGCACTTTGGAAACATATTAAAACAGTTAGGAATTTTTGATAAATGAAGTTTTAATGAAAAGTATTGAAATGGTTTGCGCTATAACAATGGTTTAGGTGCTCATAAAACACTTTTCTTTAACCATAAATAACGCTTACACAAAGCCACGGCTTTAAGCCAACATCTACTGCTGCAAACAGGAGTGGCGCAAAACGAAGTTGCCAGACATTTAAATCGAAACAATATCATCTCTTTTGGGACGTTATCCACACTAGTGCAACACTCGTGACTTGCCATGGGCCAATCGTCCACACATGACATCACGTCGACAAGACAACCACTTTCGGTTGGTGCTTCTACGGAATTTATACTAAACTGCCACATTAACAGCTCGGACAATTCCTGGGTTGAGACCAATTAGTGGCAGAGCAGTACGCAAGCTGTTGAGGGAGCACAACATCTAGCACTACGCCACATTGTGCTTCCATGGAAGACAAGCCTGTGACAGTGAGTGGCCAGGTTTCATCTACATAGCTCTCCTAGTCGTGCAAGGGTCTACCGGTATCCAGAAAATTTTAGCTACGCCTGCATTACTTAAAAGCCGTCAGTTTTGGGTAGGAAGTGTAATGTTTGTTTGTTTTGTAACGAGGCACTCAGCAATATTCCAGCTATATGACGGCGGTCTGTAAATAATCGAGTCATGACCAGACAACTCAGTGATTGACATCGACCACCGATCTAGCTAACGACATACCACGCCATACATCAACCATGTCAATGAGCCTGACCACCCCATCCCGTTAGTCTCCTCTTACGACAAGCACAGTCGCCTTTTACAGAAAGCAATGATTGCTGAAGACCTATACCACCCCGAATCTTCATAGGTGTCATATTAAAAGATAAACATGTTATTTGGTCAAAGTCAAATGTTCTGTTTTATATGGGTTTTTTTTCTCACTGACCTTGGTTAGAACACAATAGTGTCACTGCTGCAGACGAAGTATTTCTGATGTGAAACACCAATTCTGTATTTTCAGATAAAAAAGTACTTCATCATATGTACACAATAGGATATATGGACATACTGGGGTGCATCACAACAGTGCTTCCACATACCTGTACAGGGGAGTGTTAGTGACTGGGTTTTCCTACATAACAATAACTACAAAATATGTGAAGAGTGAGTGAGTGAGTTGGGTCTGGAACTGCTGTTCACAATAGACATGATATATGACACTAACTGGATCATAGAAATGACACAACACATTACAGCATTTCCCTGTTGTCTTTAATGAGAAAATATTGCTACAATATTATCTCACAAATAAAATTTCATAAATACAAAATGAAAGTAAAATTACATTCTGCACTACTCCCTGTGAATTATTGCTGACAATATCCTGCATCATTTCCTGGTTCCAGGCAAGATTTGACTACAGCATCCAGCATCTTGGAAACCATTTCATTGCTTTATTTCTTATTAACCATGGAAACAGCACAGTCCGAGCAACACTGAGGTAAGATTCCACTTCAATCCTCTGCCTCCACACAGTGGCGGTCCGAGTCCACAGCACACAGGTACATACTGCCCCCCTCTCACACCATGCCATATTTCTTTTGTCTAACACATGTCCTTTTGTCTCACCACCCGCTCTCATGCATCCGCAGGAGCTCATTCCTCCCAACTGCAGGTAACCCCTCCCAACACACCAAGATCATTCTTCCTTACTAACCCCTCCCCACACATGTGAGATCATTCTTCCTTACTAACCCCTCCCCACACATGTGAGATCATTCTTCCTTACTAACCCCTCCCCACACACACACGTGAGATCATTCTTCCTTACTAACCCCTCCCCACACACACACGTGAGATCATTCTTCCTTACTAACCCCTCTCCCCACACACGTGAGATCATTCTTCCTTACTAACTCCTCCCCTCCCCCCCACACGAGATAATTCTTTCTTACTAACCCCTCCCCCCACACATGAGATCATTCTTTCTTACTAACCCCTCCCCTCCCCCCCACACGAGATAATTCTTTCTTACTAACCCCTCCCCCCACACACGAGATAATTCTTTCTTACTAACTCCTCCCCCCACACATGAGATAATTCTTCCTTACTAACTCCTCCCCTCCCCCCTACACGAGATAATTCTTTCTTACTAACTCCTCCCCCCACACACGAGATAATTCTTTTTTACTAACCCCTCCCCCCACACGAGATCATTCTCCCTTACTAACCCCTCCCCCCACACATGAGATCATTCTTCCTTACTAACCCCTCCCCCACATGTGAGATCATTCTTCCTTACTGACTCCTCCCCCCACACACACACACACGAGATCATTCTTCCTTACTAAACCCTCTCCCACACACGAGATCATTCTTCCTTACTAACCCCTCCCCCCACATACACATGAGATCATTCTTCCTTACTAACCCCTCCCCCACACTTGAGATCATTCTTCCTTACTAACTCCTCCCCTCCCCCCCACACGAGATCCTTCTCCCATACTAACCCCTCCCCCACACGTGAGATCATTCTTCCTTACTAACCCCTCTCCCCACACACGTGAGATCATTCTTCCTTACTAACTCCTCCCCTCCCCCCCACACGAGATAATTCTTTCTTACTAACCCCTCCCCCCACACATGAGATCATTCTTTCTTACTAACCCCTCCCCTCCCCCCACACGAGATAATTCTTTCTTACTAACCCCTCCCCCCACACACGAGATAATTCTTTCTTACTTACTCCTCCCCCCACACATGAGATAATTCTTCCTTACTAACTCCTCCCCTCCCCCCCCACACGAGATAATTCTTTCTTACTAACTCCTCCCCCCACACACGAGATAATTCTTTCTTACTAACCCCTCCCCCCACACGAGATCCTTCTCCCTTACTAACCCCTCCCCCCACACATGAGATCATTCTTCCTTACTAACCCCTCCCCCACATGTGAGATCATTCTTCCTCACTGACTCCTCCCCCCCCCACACACACACGAGATCATTCTTCCTTACTAAACCCTCCCCCACACACGAGATCATTCTTCCTTACTAACCCCTCCCCCCACATACACATGAGATCATTCTTCCTTACTAACCCCTCCCCCACACGTGAGATCATTCTTCCTTACTAACTCCTCCCCTCCCCCCCACACGAGATCCTTCTCCCATACTTACCCCTCCCCCACACGTGAGATCATTCTTCCTTAATAACTCCTCCCCCTCCACACACGAGAACATTCTTCCTAACTGACCCTCCCCCCCCCCCAACCACCACCACACACACACACACACACGTGAGATCATTCTTCCTTACTAACCCCTCCCCACACACGAGATCATTCTCCCTTCCTAACCCCTCACCACACACACACGTGCGATTATTCTTCCTTACCAACCCCTCCCCTCACACAGGTGAAATCATTCATCCTACCTTACCTGTCTCTCCCTCAACCTCTTTCCCTTTGGTTCACACAGGTGAAATCATTCATACTACCTTACCTGTCTCTCCCTCGATCTATTTCCTTCCCCCTCCCCTCACACAGGTGAAATCATTCATCCTACATAACCTGTCCCTCCCTCGACCTCTTTCCCCACGGCTCACACAGGTGAAATCATTCATGCTTCCTTGTCACACATATTAGCAAATTCTCTATCACTAGGCCACTGCGAGGCAGTTCATGTTGACCAGTACACTTACAACAGTGGGCTTCTGACGTCGAGCACCATCAACATGGACGGAGAGTGGTGGCTATCAGGACGGCACCCATTGCTCTCCAGACACCAGCTGCCTCACTATGTATTACCACAGAGGTCACGCCCCACTCAGCACAGGCAGGCGACACAGGGGCAAGGCTACCTCGCCCACACAGAAGGCCATCACTTGAGTTGCCAGTCTAGTAGATCACATTGTAAAGTCCATGACAGTCCCAGGGTCCTTTCAGTCACTGCACACTGTAGTCACGGTGTGGTGTGCTTTCTCCCCAGGCGGCCGAAGATCCCGGTCCGGACAACTGTCGGGGTGGAGGAAATGGTCACAGGCTGCTTCACTGGTGTGTCTTCACCAGTCTTGGGGCCGAGGCGAGACTTGATTCCTGTAACATGCAGGAGGGGTGTTGCCATGAGTGAGTGAGCAGAACCCTACCAGCAGACATCCTAACCATACTTGATTGATTGATTGATTGATTGATTGTACAACAGCATCCAGGTAATAATCAAGTCTGGCCCAGACAATCCAGACAATTGCTCGATTATCATCCACTTTTGGGGAGCGAGTATTTTTTTTCTATTAAAGTCATCAAGTTGAAGACAGGCCATCTTCAACAAGTCTTCACTTACCGTGAGAAGTAAGTCCACTGCTGCTTGTCACTGTGGCTTTCTGAGGGCCAAGTCGTACCGTCACCGACGGAGTTACCGGGGAGGTGGTTGAGGACGAAGTGGTTGTACTGCTTGCAATTTCTGTCTGCACCTTCTTCCCCAGTCGTTGTTTAATGGACAGATTTTCCGCAACATAATCTCGTGATAGAATCCCGGCTGTTGAGGCTGATGCTGGTGACGTTGTTGTCACCTCAGCTGTCTGGATCGCTGAGGACAAACAAACAAACAAACACAATAACATTTCCCTACAAGAAGCAATGTCACTGACTCATGCAAGCATTTCAAAACAACAGTATCTAAAATTTAACATCCTATTTTGAAAGCTACAGAAATTGATCACTCATTTTATAAAATAAAAATACTGTACCACTTGATATGTTACCATGTCCACAGTGATTCTACTAACCATCATGATACTGTTAATTGATACTGTCACACGAGTCAAACTTTACACATTTACCAAAACAATCTACTAAACCCGTCACTGGCATACTCACTGATTTTCTTCCGGACAGCCAGTTTGCGGGCTGCTGCTGACAATGCAGCTGCCTTCTTGGACATCGATGTGACCTTGACCTTCTTAGGAGGCGACTTGAGTACTCCAGCATATTCCAGCACGGATTCGATGACATCATCACTGTCATCTTCGTCTTCACCCAATACTGACGTCGACGATGCTGGCCTCTTGACTGTTGATTTGTCTCCCAGACGATTAAACACTGAACCCTAGAAGTCACCAAAATATAATCATAATAATATCGCTGGTTAATGAGTCCATATTGACTAATACTAAAATTGTAAATTTTACATTAAAAACTTATCCAATCTCACACTATGGATTTCTTGCTTCTTCTTTCGATCCTATGTGGAAACGTGCTTGAACAATGTTTCCAGCTTCTAAAAACAAATCACCCGAACAGATCGGCACCAACTGGAACAACAAGTGAAAGTGCAGGAGATGAGGAACAACTGGCGGTTGATGATCGGGAAGCTCTAGGATCGTCAACGGCTGGCGCTGTCGAGGTTGGCTGGTCATGTCAATGGCAGTAAGTAAAGTATGCCGAACAGCCCGCGATAGGTCTGTCTGTACTGATTCCAACAAAAGCAGGTTTGTTACCACTCAGAAAAAAGTCCTGACATGTGCTATGCAAAACATCCCTGCGCGTCGATGATCGTAAGTGCTCTAGAGCATGCAAACCGGTCTATATTCTTGCCTAGCACTTTGGAGTAGAACACCACACACACCCATCACAGGACAAAACAGGGGGAACTGTATAGCAGAAGAACAAAAAAGTCATCCCAAGTTCAGAAGAGATAACGGTGTACATGCAGCCAGTTCACCTGTAGAGAGTATCACATGACCGGTGCATTAGCAAGTTGATCGCTGTAATATCTGATGCATGTAAATAATCTGTTGATTGCACTAGTAAAAATGCAGCAAGAGATCCAGTCGATCTTCATTCACTTGATCTGGATCGTTTATAAGTTGGAAATCTTACTGAGCCACAGATTAAACTAACGCCGAGGAGAGAGACCGGTGATTTCATGAGGTAGGTAAGAGAGGGGGATGCCAATGTAGGCTGACTTATCTCCAAACCGACAGAGTTAATCCAATCAAGGCGATGCGGAGGCTGGATCTGGATGTGGCATCGTGGTTCTGGGTTGGAAGATCGCCAGGGAAGACAAGAGATGAAGCTCCCAGCAAAGGGGAATCGTGATTCTACCATCCTGTCACGTGATTCAGGGGTCCCATGAGAGTGCAACTGCGCATGCGTAGACCAGTGTGACCTTGTGGCGTAGACAGAACAACACTGAAATTATCTTGCTCGGTATACATTTCGTTCTCTGATTTTCTGAGGATAATTGGTTGCCAATTACTAATTTCTTTGCCGATCCCGAGGTGATCGCATTAATGAACGTTTTACCGTTTGACAACCTGCGAAGTTGTCAGAATTTCCACTTGAATATTGATCTACCTCATGGTTGACTGTGTCGGCAGCCATCATAGGGCACGACGTTCAGAATACAATCCCTGCGGAGGACAATCTAAATCCAAGGGAAAATCTAAAGCAGAGACGTCCACTTCTACAAGCTATTCAAGCTCTAAACCCTCCTCGTTTGGAGGACAGTGTAGCTAATGCGAGAACTTCGCAATCAGTAACAGAAATGGCACTAATGCTCGACGAACTAAAGAAAATGTTGGTGGGGCTTTCACAACTGGGGACTCGTTCAAATCAATAGAACAGAAACTTGAACGTGAACAAGTTACCCCCTATGGAGAGGACAATTACTTTCCGGATTAGGAGTTGGGTCATGATTATCCAAGATGGTGGGAGGAACAATCTATGCAGGAGACGATGAGGGAATCGATGAGGGAATCGATGAGGGAATCGATGAGGGAGGCGAAGTGAGAGGGGTGTCGAAGTGATGGTGATCAAGGGGCTAGTCCCAATAAGAGCACCAGTTATCAGCATGCGAGTGGAAATCAGGATAACACGATGCATAAGGGAAACCACACCAGTGATGATACAGATTCAAGCGTGGAAGAAAGACGTGGGGGGTCTCCATAATCACTATAATGAGAGGGATCCCAAGCACTAAAGTCCTGTTGATGATGATAATCGTAAGAGAGGGAACGATCCCGTTGACGACGTCAATCTGTGTCATTAGATATGGCAGGGGTGGTCATGTGATCACATCGTGTAGATCGCTAAGCATGGGATTACAGTGCGTGACCCATTTGCATGGATGGTGACCATGGTGATTCTGGGCTGTGTTCAGGTGATTTGTTTTTAGAAGCTGGAAACTTGTTCAAGAATGTTTTGATAAGGGATTGAAAGAAGCAAGAAATGCATATTGTGTGATAGAATGAGTTAAAAGATTTATTATTCTGAATGTGTATAGATAAAAATCACCAAAGTAGACATGCAATTAATCAATTTAGAGCTAAATATGGACTAGGCTGATGTTTACATGTTTAAAATTCACTTTTCTGACCTCATTTTCCATCTTAACCAAGGTAATCTTAGTAAATGTAAATGTAAACAGTACTAATTTAGTTTGTTTAAGTGTGTGTGTGTGTGTGTGTGTGAGGAGGGTCAGGGTAGTGATCACCTGTGGGAGGGGGGGTCAGGGTAGTGATCGATCATCTGTGGGAGGGGGGTCAGGGTAGTGTTCATCTGTGGGAGGAGGGTTAAGGTGGTGATCGCCTAGGGAGGTTGGTCAGGGTAGTGATCACCTGTGGGAGGATGGCCAGGGTAGTGATCACCTGTGGGAGGAGGGTCAGGGTAGTGACCACCTGTGGGAGGATGGACAAGGTAGTGATCACCCATGGGAGGGGGGTCAGGGTAGTGATCACCTGTGGGAGGAGGGTCAGGGTAGTGATCACCTGTGGTGGTTGGACAGGGTAGTGATCACCTGTGGGAGGAGGGTCAGGGTAGTGATCACCTGTGGGAGGAGGGTTAAGGTGGTGATCGCCTATGGAGGTTGGTCAGGGTAGTGACCACCTGTGGGAGGATGGACAGGGTAGTGATCACCTGTGGGAGGGGGGTCAGGGTAGTGATCACCTGTGGGAGGATGGACAGGGTAGTTTTCACCTGTGGGAGGAGGGTTAAGGTGGTGATCGCCTAGGGAGGTTGGTCAGGGTAGTGACCACCTGTGGGAGGATGGACAGGGTAGTGTTCACCTGTGTGAGGAGGGTTAAGGTGGTGATCGCCTAGGGAGGTTGGTCAGGGTAGTGACCTCCTGTGGGAGGATGGACAGGGTAGTGATCACCTGTGGGAGGGGGGTCAGGGTAGTGATCACCTGTGGGAGGAGGGTTAAGGTGGTGATCACCTGTGGGAGGTTGGTCAGGGTAGTGACCACCTGTGGGAGGATGGACAGGGTAGTGATCACCTGTTGGAGGGGGGTCAGGGTAGTGATCACCTGTGGGAGGATGGACAGGTAGTGTTCACCTGTGGGAGGAGGGTTAAGGTGGTGATTGCCTAGGGAGGTTGGTCAGGGTAGTGACCACCTGTGGGAGGATGGACAGGGTAGTGTTCACCTGTGGGAGGAGGGTTAAGGTGGTGATCGCCTAGGGAGGTTGGTCAGGGTAGTGACCACCTGTGGGAGGATGGACAGGGTAGTGATCACCCATGGGAGGGGGGTCAGGGTAGTGATCACCTGTGGGAGGAGGGTCAGGGTAGTAACCACCTGTGGGAGGATGGCCAGGGTAGTGATCACCTGTGGAGGTTGGACAGGGTAGCTATCACCTGTGGGAGGGTGGTCAGGGTAGTGATCACCTGTGGGAGGAGGGTCAGGATAGTGATCACCTGTGGGAGGAGGGTCAGGGTAGTGACCACCTGTGGGAGGATGGACAAGGTAGTGATCACCCATGGGAGGGGGGTCAGGGTAGTGATCGCCTGTGGGAGGAGGGTCATGGTAGTGATCACCTGTGGTGGTTGGACAGGGTAGTGATCACCTGTGGAGGTTGGACAGGGTAAAGTTCACCTGTGGGAGGATGGCCAGGGTAGTGATCACCTGTGGGAGGGGTGTCAGGTCAGTGATCACCTGTGGAGAGGGTCAGGGTAGCAATCACCTGTCGGAGGAGGGTCAGGGTAGTGATCACCTGTGGAAGATGGGCTAGGGTCGTGATAACCTATGGGAGGAGGGACAGGGTAGTGATCACCTGTGGAGGAAGGTTAAGTGGTGACCTACTGTTGGAGGAGGGTCAGGGTAGTGATAACCTGTGGGAGGAGAATTAAGGTGGTGATCACCTGGGGAGGGGGGTCAGGGTACTGATCACCTGTGGAGAGGGTCAGGGTAGCAATCACCTGTGGGAGGGGGCTCAGGGTAGTGAAAACCTGTGGAGGTTGGACAGGGTAGTGATCACCTGTGGAGAAGGTCAGGGTAGTGATCACCTGTGGGATGGGGGTTAAGGTGGTGATCACCTGTGGGAGGAGGGACAGGGTAGTGATCACCTGTGGGAGGAGGGTTAAGGTGGTGATCACCTGTGGAGAAGGTCAGGGTAGTGATCACCCATGGGAGGGGGGTCAGGGTAGTGATCACCTGTGGGAGGAGGGTCAGGGTAGTAACCACCTGTGGGAGGAGGGTCAGGGTAGTGATCACCTGTGGAGGTTGGACAGGGTAGCTATCACCTGTGGGAGGGTGGTCAGGGTAGTGATCACCTGTGGGAGGAGGGTCAGGGTAGTGATCACCTGTGGAGGAGGGTCAGGGTAGTGATCATCTGTGGGAGGAGGGTCAGGGTAGCGATCACCTGTAGGAGGAGGATCAGGGTAGTGATCATATTCGGGAGGAGGGTCAGGGTAGCGATCACCTGTGGGAGGAGGATCAGGGTATTGATCACCTGTGGGAGGAGGATCAGGGTATTGATCATCTTCGGGAGGAGGGTCAGGGTAGCGATCACCTGTAGGAGGGGGGTCAGGGTAGCAATCATCTGTGGGAGGAGGATCAGGGTAGCAATCACCTGTGGGAGGAGGATCAGGGTAGCGATCACCTGTGGGAGGAGGGTCAGGGTAGCGATCACCTGTGGGAGGAGGGTCAGGGTAGCGGTCACCTGTTGGAGGAGGGTCAGGGTAGTGACCACCTGTGGGAGGAGGATCAGGGTATTGATCATCTGTGGGAGGAGGATCAGGGTATTGATCACCTGTGGGAGGAGGATCAGGGTAGTGATCATCTGTGGGAGGAGGATCAGGGTAGTGATCATCTGTGGGAGGAGGAACAGGGTAGTGATCATCTGTATAGGATGGACAGGGTAGTGATCACCTTTGGAGAAGGTCAGAGTAGCGATCACCTGTGGGAGGAGGATCAGGGTAGTGATCATCTGTGGGAGGAGGGTCAGGGTAGCGATCACCTGTAGGAGGATCAGGGTAGTGATCATCTGTGGGAGGAGGGTCAGGGTAGCGATAGCCTGTAGGAGGAGGATCAGGGTAGTGATCATCTTCGGGAGGAGGGTCAGGGTAACAATCACCTGTGGGAGGAGGGTCAGGGTAGTGATCACCTGTAGGAGGAGGATCAGGGTAGTGATCATCTTCGGGAGGAGGGTCAGGGTAGTGATCACCTGTGGGAGGAGGGTCAGGGTAGTGATCACCTGTGGAGGAGGGTCAGGGTAGTGATCATCTGTGGGAGGAGGGTCAGGGTAGCGATCACCTGTAGGAGGAGGATCAGGGTAGTGATCATATTCGGGAGGAGGGTCAGGGTAGCGATCACCTGTGGGAGGAGGATCAGGGTATTGATCACCTGTGGGAGGAGGATCAGGGTATTGATCATCTTCGGGAGGAGGGTCGGGGTAGCGATCACCTGTAGGAGGGGGGTCAGGGTAGCAATCATCTGTGGGAGGAGGATCAGGGTAGCAATCACCTGTGGGAGGAGGATCAGGGTAGCGATCACCTGTGGGAGGAGGGTCAGGGTAGCGATCACCTGTGGGAGGAGGGTCAGGGTAGCGGTCACCTGTTGGAGGAGGGTCAGGGTAGTGACCACCTGTGGGAGGAGGATCAGGGTATTGATCATCTGTGGGAGGAGGATCAGGGTATTGATCACCTGTGGGAGGAGGATCAGGGTAGTGATCATCTGTGGGAGGAGGATCAGGGTAGTGATCATCTGTGGGAGGAGGAACAGGGTAGTGATCATCTGTATAGGATGGACAGGGTAGTGATCACCTTTGGAGAAGGTCAGAGTAGCGATCACCTGTGGGAGGAGGATCAGGGTAGTGATCATCTGTGGGAGGAGGGTCAGGGTAGCGATCACCTGTAGGAGGATCAGGGTAGTGATCATCTGTGGGAGGAGGGTCAGGGTAGCGATAGCCTGTAGGAGGAGGATCAGGGTAGTGATCATCTTCGGGAGGAGGGTCAGGGTAACAATCACCTGTGGGAGGAGGGTCAGGGTAGTGATCACCTGTAGGAGGAGGATCAGGGTAGTGATCATCTTCGGGAGGAGGGTCAGGGTAGCGATCACCTGTAGGAGGATCAGGGTAGTGATCATCTGTGGGAGGAGGGTCAGGGTAGTGATCATCTGTGGGAGGAGGGTCAGGGTAGCGATCACCTGTAGGAGGAGGATCAGGGTAGTGATCATCTTCGGGAGGAGGGTCAGGGTAGCAATCACCTGTGGGAGGAGGGTCAGGGTAGCGATCACCTGTAGGAGGAGGATCAGGGTAGTGATCATCTTCGGGAGGAGGGTCAGGGTAGTGATCACCTGTGGGAAGATGGGTTAGGGTAGTGATAACCTGTGGGAGGAGGGTTAAGGGGGTGATCACCTGGGGAGGGGGGTCAGGGTAGTGATCACCTGTGGAGGATGGACAGGGTAGTGATCACCTGTGGGAAGATGGGCTAGGGTCGTGATAACCTGTGGGAGGAGGGACAGGGTAGTGATCACCTGTGGGGGTTGTTTCAGGGTATTGATCACCTGTGGAGGAGGGTCAAGGCAGTGATCACCTGGGGAGAGGGGTCAGGGTAGTGATCACCTGGGGAGGGAGGCAGGGCAGAGGGGCCAGACTTACAGATGGTGAGGCACTCTTGAGAACCACATTCCCCAGTCCCGTCACTGTGACTTGCTGCGGTGAATCCACACCAAGACGCTCAAACACTGACGACCTCTTGGACAAAGAATCTGTACATAAAATCATAAGTAGATAAGATGCTTTTGTCCTAGCCATATCAATATTTGTTTTGGTTTTGTGCAACTGGTGAAGATTAGAATTTGTTTTATACTAATTTGAATGCAACATTTGCAAACAACTATTCTTTCTTTACATATACTGGATTACTGTACTGATGAAGGTGTTTGTTTGGCTGACCTGACACTTCAGGTTTGGGAGTTGGTATGTTCTTCATGGGTGCTGCTTCAGGGTCCTTGCCCAAGTAGTGGCCAACCATCCTAGCGGCAGCTGCAAAAACACAGACACTAGGATAAGTTACCCTAACACAGACACTATGGATAAGTTACCCTAACACAGACACGAGGATAAGTTACCCTAACACAGACACGAGGATAAGTTACCCTAACACAGACACTAGGATAAGTTACCCTAACACAGACACGAGGATAAGTTACCCTAACACAGACACGAGGATAAGTTACCCTAACACAGACACGAGGATAAGTTACCCTAACACAGACACTAGGATAAGTTACCCTAACACAGACACGAGGATAAGTTACCCTAACACAGACACTAGGGATACGTTACCCTAACACAGACACTAGGATAAGTTACCCTAACACAGACACTAGGAATATGTTACTCTAACACAGACACTAGGAATATGTTACTCTAACACAGACACTAGGAATACGTTACTCTAACACAGACACTAGGAACATGTTACTCTAACACAGACACTAGGATAAGTTACCCTAACACAGACACTAGGATAAGTTACCCTAACACAGACACAAGGATAAGTTACCCTAACACAGACACTAGGATAAGTTACCCTAACACAGACACTAGGAATACGTTACTCTAACACAGACACTAGGAACATGTTACTCTAACGCAGACACTAAGATAAGTTACCCTAACACAGGCACTAGGAATACGTTACCCTAACACAGACACTAGGAATATGTTACTCTAACGCAGACACTAGGAATATGTTACTCTAACACAGGCACTAGGAATATGTTACCCTAACATAGACACTAGGAATATGTTTCTCTAACACAGACACTAGGAATATGTTACTCTAACACAGACACCAGGAATAAGTTACCCTAACACAGACACTAGGAATATGTTACTCTAACAAAGACACAAGGATAAGTTACCCTAACACAGACACTAGGAATACGTTACACTAACACAGACACAAGGATAAGTTACCCTAACACAGACACTAGGAATACGTTACTCTAACACAGACACTAGGAATAAGTTACCCTAACACAGACACTAGGAATATGTTCAACTAATGTCAATTCTATAGTGCAAGTCCAATTAGATACCATGCCGCAACTTGACATGAATACCATACCCAGACAAAGTATACTGACTCCGAACCGACAAGTCCATGTTCTAGCCACTTAACATGGCAGGGTAACAACAAGTACCATTTTTTAACATCTTTTGGTATGACATGGCCAGGTGTCAAACCCACAACTTTCCGCTCTCCGGGCAGACGGTCTACCCTAAAGCCATGGAGGCGGTCAGTGTCCATCATGAGTCTTTGTCTGTAGCTCAGTCCTTGCAGCAGTTACCATGGTTACCTGTAGATCTGCGGGGCTGAGATGGACTGTTGTTGGAAGTACTTTGCGTGACAGCTGGACTTGCATTCTTCAGGACCTTATCACGAGCATCCTACATAAAAACATCAGTGACTACAAATTGTTCTCTTTTAAAAACATTTTTACAGTTATGAAACCAAAATGCCATTGAGAAAGTGGTCAAATGTAACAAATGTTATATTTGGGATAACACTTCCTTAGTAAAGTACAAATTCTCGTACTTTTAGGGTTGAATCCCATCCTGATGATGATCCAGGATTCGAACCCAAGCTCTTATTGTGAGGCACCTAATCCCCAGGACACAAAGTTAGTCATCTAATCCCCTCACCCACCATGGCCACCACAAACTGAAAGTCCAACAACTGGTAGTCTAGATCACATATTTTAGGTACCCCTCTGACAAGTGTAAATTTGTGCGACTCCCATGGCCGAAGCTATGAATACACAATGCCATTTAGAAAGTGGTCAAATGTAACAAATGTCATATATGGGATAACATCTCCTTAGAGAAGTACAAATTCTCGTACTTTTTCGGGTTGAGTCCCATAAGGGAATCGAACCCACACTCTTTGTGTGCTGGCGATTTGGTGCCTAGCTCTGCCTCACTCTGAGAGTGTGGGTTCGAATCCTGGATGGGACTCAACCCAAAACAGTACTAGAATTTGAACTTTACAAAGGAAGTGTTATCCCAGATATAACATTTGTTCACAGTTGACAGAACAACACGACAAGACAAAATGTTAATTAAATTTATAAAACCGTTAGGTTTCTCCTGTACATGCTTTGCTGCAAGCTTTTACCAAACAATATGAAAAAACATTTTCAGTTGTAAGATGTCACTTGTGCTGGTTGCAAGGCTCATATCATCCTACTATAACATTCCTCTGTCCATTTGTACTGGAATAGTTAAATTTTTGCTTTCTCTGGGATAAATGGTTCCCTCTGTTACTACCTGTGTGTGGACAGCCTTGGCATGTTTGAGGATGGCGATGACGTCACCAAGGCGACTGATGCCCATGTCAAGCAGGTATTCCTTGGACAGGTCCAGGAGCATGTCCCTCTGAATGCGATTATCATTGAACGCAACTGCATAGTTCGCTGAGTCTCCTGGAGGGACACCCGCATCAGTGAAAAACTTGATCCAGTAGGAAGTGCTATTTTCTGTTATAAAAGAAAATACAAACTATTAGAAATATGTTGTCATATCCTTTGCATGGTCAAAGATAGTGAACCTCATCAGTAATGCACCTGAGATTGCCAACAACACAACCATGATACAAGTTAAAGATACCTGTCAAAATAACACAGCAAATTAGCATGTTATCAACTGTCAAAAGTTTAAATGTATGAAAACCTTTTTGGACCATCTCTTATGTAGTTTTCTCTTTCTTTAAGGGATCACCAGGCTGTCCCAGTGGAAGCATCGTGTTATTCATCTACTATGCTGGCAAATTATTACCTCGACCCGCTTGACCTCGAAACGTACCAAATCATTACGTTTATAAGTGTGTTTTTTTTCTTTCTTTGTGATAATGATGGTACATCCACAAATATAGGTTCCTCTGGGGTTAACATTAGGCCTATACCTCTGATGGTTACTGTAAGAAACAAGTCGCCCATGGTTTCAACAGCCACCATCACAATGACATTGGTAAACCTTAGACTGCAGCACACTCAAAGCACGTCATTTGTTAGTATTTTAGTACGTTATTTTACATACTATCTCCACCACCTCCCCGCCATTAATACTGACATGTAGTAAACTTCAGATAACACAGCACAACTGATGTGGGCCTAGGTCTCATCATAACCATGGTAACAACCAATTCAGCAATGTGAAGACACAAGCGGTACAAATATAATTAGGCTCTAAAAATATTTCCCCGGTCCTGAGACTTACCTTAATATGTATATATAGGAGAGGAAACAAATAATATGATTAAAGATTGATGAAGACCGAAGTTAGAAGCTGATAAGTGATTACCGCTGTTCCGGTCGCAAAACTTACCGACCGATAACAAGACTTTCTAAGTCAGCTTTAACTTTACTGATACCAAGAACATATGTATGAAGGGTATGTGGTCGGGTATATTAAGCATAGAATAACACATTCTGAAATCTAAATGTTTATACTACAGGTTCAAGCCAACGTGTCCCAATCAATATATCGCATACCAGTTGAAGAAGACATGGACGACGCCATTTTTCTTGAATGTTAGTATTTACCTCCAGTTTCAATGGCAATGGTGTGCGCACTGCGGTCCCCAAACGAACAAGGTATGGGTTTCAAAGTGGAACACCTTTTCGGCATCGGCATTCTGTAAAAGCGCAACTTAGTTTTACACTGTAATGAAATTAAACTTGTCTGACGCCCCAGACTGGCGATGCCTGGTTTTGGTTTAACCACGGACCTATACAAGTCCGCGGTTTAACGAAAACCGATGTGCCGGCAATCTGTACGTACATCAGACACACAAATACAAATATGGAACTGCGGCTGGATCGTTACCAGCTGGTGACGCGAACATGGACTCCTGCTGTCTAACCAGGCTGCACATGCCACACGGTAGGTGGTTAACGTAATATGCTACTGATCCCGAAGACCCAGAAAAATACCTTCGTTTAATTTAAATACACCTATTTAATATCAAGTGGAAACTAATGGTGAACAATCTAAGTGTGAGTCGTCGTCTGCACAATTTGTCTTTTGAAAAGCAAACGTATATATATTGGTCAAATTGTCATGAGTTAGCTTTGAAGTATAAAATGTGAGTTAATTGCTGCAAAGAAATTATCCCATTGGAGATACCAACAGCCAACCTATTTTTGTTGACACATTTGAGATGCTCCACCCTACAAATATCTCTCTTGTCATCGGCAACTTGATCATGACGTGCTCGTGATATAAACCATTGGCGGGACTTGACCAAGTTCATTACAATCAGATGTTTTATAATGAGATTGGGACTTGACCATGACTTCATTATCTGGAGGCCGATGTTTTACAGCTGAAATACGGCTCACAGCGGCGTAAAACAACCCTCACTCACAGCAGTCCACTTAAACCACTGAAGGATCTAAATCTGAAGCAGCTGGCTGCTAGAGCTCCTGTAGGTCGGGAGTAGATTGTGGGGTCCAGCTAGCACTTTACACTTTACGGTATTATATATTCTATATCACAAATTAAATGTTTCCCACTCTCTTCAATGGTGTTCTTGCCAGTTTGCTGCAGATGAGGGACACTATAGCGAATCAAGGTTCGGGTTAGTAAAGGAGCATGGAACCCACCAATCACAGAATTGCTGGTTTTGTTTGAGAATATTGTTTAGTGTATATGGGATGAACATGGACAGGAAACACAGTCGATGTTAGAAGCGTCCATAAAATATTCCATAATGCACCAGCAGAGGAAGGTTGAACTAACGAGTTGTGTGGACTTCCACTGAAATACTCGGTGTACTGGCTTCAGTTAAGTGCAGTGTATTTATATTTATATTTCACGGTTAAAATAGAGGTTACCATTTTAACAGTAGTCAGTACATACAAACACATATAGCTTGAAGATTCCTGTTTGTGTTCATAGTTTGTGATTATTTACAGACAGCCGCCATACAGCTGGAATATTGCTGAGTGCGGCATTAAACAACAAACAAACAAACAAACAAACAAACAAACAAACAAACAAACAAACAAATCATAGTTTGCAACGTAACCCTGGATGGTGTGTGTTCCTTGGATGTCTGCATCTCCAATGCACACGTGTTAACGAAACTGTTCAATTGAGGTCAGCTGGTCAAGGGATTGTGTATGAACCAAGAAATCAGTTGTTGCAAATGTCAAGGGTCTCTGCCATCAGGGAACTGACACTACACATAGTCAAGGTTGATACCTACACCGATTGGTGTGCCCTGAAGACACTACACACATCAGGGTTGATACCTACACAGATTGGTATGTCCTGAAGACACTACACACACAGCCAGGGTTGATACCTACACAGATTGGTATGTCCTGAAGACACTACACACATCAGGGTTGATACCTACACAGATTGGTATGACCTGAAGACACTTCAGACACAGCAGGGTTGATACCTACACAGATTGGTATGCCCTGAAGACACTACACACACAGACAGGGTTGATACCTACACAGATTGGTATGACCTGAAGACACTACACACATCAGGGTTGATACCTACACAGATTGGTATGACCTGAAGACACTTCACACACATCAGGGTTGATGCCTACACGGATTGGTATGTCCCGAAGACACTACACACATCAGGGTTGATGCCTACACAGATTGGTATGTCCTGAAGACACTACACACATCAGGGTTGATACCTACACAGATTGGTATGCCCTGAAGACACTACACACATCAGGGTTGATACCTACACAGATTGGTATGCCCTGAAGACACTACACACATCAGGGTTGATGCCTACACAGATTGTTATGTCCTGAAGACACTACACACACAGCCAGGGTTGATGCCTACACAGATTGGTATGACCTGAAGACACTACACACATCAGGGTTGATACCTACACAGATTGGTATGTCCTGAAGACACTACACACACAGCCAGGGTTGATGCCTACACAGATTGGTATGCCCTGAAGACACTACACACACAGCCAGGGTTGATGCCTACACAGATTGGTATGACCTGAAGACACTTCACACACAGCAGGGTTGATACCTACACAGATTGGTATGCCCTGAAGACACTACACACACAGACAGGGTTGATACCTACACAGATTGGTATGTCCTGAAGACACTACACACACAGACAGGGTTGATACCTACACAGATTGGTATGCCCTGAAGACACTACACACACAGGCAGGGTTGATACCTACACAGATTGGTATGTCCTGAAGACACTACACAAACAGCCAGGGTTGATGCCTACACAGATTGGTATGCCCTGAAGACACTACACACATCAGGGTTGATACCTACACAGATAAGTATGTCCTGAAGACACTACACACACAGCCAGGGTTGATGCCTACACGGATTGGTATGTCCTGAAGACACTACACACATCAGGGTTGATACCTACACAGATTGGTATGTCCTGAAGACACTACACACACAGCCAGGGTTGATGCCTACACAGATTGGTATGCCCTGAAGACACTACACACACAGCCAGGGTTGATGCCTACACAGATTGGTATGACCTGAAGACACTTCACACACAGCAGGGTTGATACCTACACAGATTGGTATGCCCTGAAGACACTACACACACAGACAGGGTTGATACCTACACAGATTGGTATGTCCTGAAGACACTACACACACAGACAGGGTTGATACCTACACAGATTGGTATGCCCTGAAGACACTACACACACAGGCAGGGTTGATACCTACACAGATTGGTATGTCCTGAAGACACTACACAAACAGCCAGGGTTGATGCCTACACAGATTGGTATGCCCTGAAGACACTACACACATCAGGGTTGATACCTACACAGATTGGTATGTCCTGAAGACACTACACACACAGCCAGGGTTGATGCCTACACAGATTGGTATGCCCTGAAGACACTACACACACAGCCAGGGTTGATGCCTACACAGATTGGTATGACCTGAAGACACTTCACACACAGCAGGGTTGATACCTACACAGATTGGTATGCCCTGAAGACACTACACACACAGACAGGGTTGATACCTACACAGATTGGTATGTCCTGAAGACACTACACACACAGACAGGGTTGATACCTACACAGATTGGTATGCCCTGAAGACACTACACACACAGGCAGGGTTGATACCTACACAGATTGGTATGTCCTGAAGACACTACACAAACAGCCAGGGTTGATGCCTACACAGATTGGTATGCCCTGAAGACACTACACACATCAGGGTTGATACCTACACAGATTGGTATGTCCTGAAGACACTACACACACAGCCAGGGTTGATGCCTACACGGATTGGTATGTCCTGAAGACACTACACACATCAGGGTTGATACCTACACAGATTGGTATGTCCTGAAGACACTACACACACAGCCAGGGTTGATACCTACACAAATTGGTATGACCTGAAGACACTTCACACACAGCAGGGTTGATACCTACACAGATTGGTATGCCCTGAAGACACTACACACACAGACAGGGTTGATACCTACACAGATTGGTATGCCCTGAAGACACTTCACACAGCCAGGGTTGATACCTACACAGATTGGTATGCCCTGAAGACACTACACACAGCCAGGGTTGATACCTACACAGATTGGTATGTCCTGTAGACACTTCACACATCAGGGTTGATACCTACACAGATTGGTATGTCCTGAAGACACTACACACATCAGGGTTGATACCTACACAGATTGGTATGCCCTGAAGACACTACACACATCAGGGTTGATGCCTACACAGATTGGTATGTCCTGAAGACACTACACACACAGACAGGGTTGATACCTACACAGATTGGTATGTCCTGAAGACACTACACACAGCCAGGGTTGATACCTACACAGATTGGTATGTCCTGTAGACACTTCACACATCAGGGTTGATGCCTACACAGATTGGTATGACCTGAAGACACTACACACACAGACAGGGTTGATACCTACACAGATTGGTATGACCTGAAGACACTACACACACAGACAGGGTTGATACCTACACAGATTGGTATGCCCTGAAGACACTACACACAGCCAGGGTTGATACCTACACAGATTGGTATGCCCTGAAGACACTACACACACAGACAGGGTTGATACCTACACAGATTGGTATGCCCTGAAGACACTACACACAGCCAGGGTTGATACCTACACAGATTGGTATGCCCTGAAGACACTACACACAGCCAGGGTTGATACCTACACAGATTAGTATGCCCTGAAGACACTACACACATCCAGGGTTGATACCTACACAGATTGGTATGTCCTGAAGACACTACACACAGCCAGGGTTGATGCCTACACAGATTGGTATGTCCTGAAGACACTACACACAGCCAGGGTTGATGCCTACACAGATTGGTATGACCTGAAGACACTACACACAGCCAGGGTTGATGCCTACACAGATTGGTATGACCTGAAGACACTACACACAGCCAGGGTTGATACCTACACAGATTGGTATGTCCTGAAGACACTACACACAGCCAGGGTTGATGCCTACACAGATTGGTATGACCTGAAGACACTACACACATCAGGGTTGATACCTACACAGATTGGTATGTCCTGAAGACACTACACACATCAGGGTTGATACCTACACAGATTGGTATGCCCTGAAGACACTACACACACAGCCAGGGTTGATACCTACACAGATTGGTATGCCCTGAAGACACTACACACATCAGGGTTGATACCTACACAGATTGGTATGCCCTGAAGACACTACACACAGCCAGGGTTGATACCTACACAGATTGGTATGCCCTGAAGACACTACACACACAGCCAGGGTTGATACCTACACAGATTGGTATGCCCTGAAGACACTACACACACATCAAGGTTGATACCTACACCGATTGGTATGTCCTGAAGACACTACACACATCAGGGTTGATACCTACACAGATTGGTATGTCCTGAAGACACTACACACATCAGGGTTGATACCTACACAGATTGGTATGACCTGAAGACACTACACACATCAGGGTTGATACCTACACAGATTGGTATGCCCTGAAGACACTACACACATCAGGGTTGATGCCTACACAGATTGGTATGTCCTGAAGACACTACACACACAGCCAGGGTTGATGCCCGTGACTAAGACACAAACAAGTTGTCATGTTCATGTCCTGACATGTGTTTACACGAGCACTTTTATTGACATTCTCATGTGGTAATACATGACATACTTTCCCTTTGAGTTCCAGGGTGATCCACATCATAAATACATACATATATAACAAGTTGGATCACTGAAACATGCAATACTTTGACATCTACACAATAGTAATTATAGCATCTGTTTTTTTCAATTCATGATGTACAAAATCTAGATTCTATACAAGTGAATAAAATTTATAGATTTTTTTAAAAACAAATTTCTAAAAGACATGATAAGAAGTGAAAAGATCATCCTGAGCAACAACTTCCTAGGCTTGTCCTTCACAACCTTTAGCCAGCACAGGTCATCAGGGCAACATATTCCTTGGCTTGTCCTTCAAAACCCTTCATCAGCACAGGTCTTCAGGGCAACATATTCCTTGGCTTGTCCTTCAAAACCCTTCACCAGCACAGGTCATCAGGGCAACATATTCCTTGGCTTGTCCTTATAACCCTTCACCAGCACAGGTCATCAGGGCAACATATTCCTTGGCTTGTCCTTATAACCCTTCACCAGCACAGGTCATCAGGGCAACATATTCCTTGGCTTGTCCTTCAAAACCCTTCACCAGCACAGGTCTTCAGGGCAACATATTCCTTGGCTTGTCCTTCAAAACCCTTCACCAGCACAGGTCTTCAGGGCAACATATTCCTTGGCTTGTCCTTATAACCCTTCACCAGCACAGGGGCCTGGAACCATATCGTGTCCAGCTCGGGTGTAGGGGAAACAACTGTCTCAGAAGACCTACATGTCTCCATTTGACCATCTCCGCTGCATAAGGCATAGTCTGGGTTAGATGCACTGAGACAGTTGTTCAGAACACAGTCGTTCATGTCAGCATCAGACAGCACTGATGAGTCCAGGGGCTCAATTCCTGATATCTCAACTTCGCTCACATCACATGACAGGTCATGAGAACCCACGTGATGGTGTCTACATTTTATGTTGTACTCAAACTGTCGACCTCTGATGGGTCGTTTAAACGTGGGCTTGGGCACAAACCACTGTATGCCGCTATCTCTGGGTGCATACAACAGCACAGCCATGTTTGTCGGTGAGATGGGTTTGACTCCTCCCAGCAAGTCGTGGGTGATGAGCTGACGGAAGAGAGACTTCACACTGGACCTGAGAGAGACTAGGTCAGCCTCTGGGGACAAAGGGGGCAGGTTGATGAGAAACGATTCTCTGGGACTGACGACGGTGCCGCCCATGGTGATGAGCACCTGTTTGACTTCTGGGCATGTGACAAAAGCAGCTTCCACCCTTTGCATCATCTCCATCACACAGGATATAAGACTCGTCTTCTTCTTGTCCTCCATGCTGCCATAGAAACATTTCCTCTTCTGTCTCACAGTAGACAGAACAGTCTGCAAGGAAAATCAAAATCCTACAGTGAGACACAAAACTAGCTGAAAATAGCTGTTACCAAAAATATTTATCACTAACATTTTATTGGCAAAATAAAGATTTGCATTAAATATTTTCATATTTTACTTGTGGTTAAGGAGGTATGGTGATTAGTTGCTGTTAAAGATACATTTTATTGGTTCAACACAGACAGGAACATGCTGCCAGTGCTGGTAACAAATTGTGAAGTGGTTTTGGAAAGACAATAACAGCACAGCTGCAACCTTCTGTGGCAAAACCAAACAGGTACATGACACCATTAGCTAATGCCAACACCCGGTGTCACATATATTGATCAGTGGAATTTGTAATATCATTACTGTTTCCTGGAGGCTGGTAGTGGTAGTATTCGACTTGTCAAGTGCTTCTTTCTTCAAATGATCGAACGGCATTGGTATCTGTTGTCTTTCGTACATAAAATACTTAAAAAGTTCATTGGCAATAACGGCCCTGACATTTGAATGTACGCCGGCATCAAAAATAATATCACAAGATTTAATTTGATCCTCGTATTTTTTTCTGTTTACAATACCCGCCATGATGGCTCCAGATACCACTGGTATATTGTCTATTTTGCGTCGTAGTTTCTGAACCAATAGATGCGTCGCGCAATGAATACGTTTTCACAGTTTATGTTACAACGGGAGATAATCATAAAATCAGTATTAACGAAGACCGTTTAAATTCTAGAACCTTTTACGTTTGCTTCACGCACTTCCATCCCAAAGTCAGCATAGCTGATAAGTGTCATTTAATTATTGATAATCAGCTGATAAATAACATCTAATCATTGCTATTCCACTGATCAATAGTATCAAATCATTGATCGAAACAGGTGCACTGCGGCAAATTTCCGAACACAATTGAGTCATTTCAAAAGAAAAAGGAGTTTCCTTGATGGCCTGATGGCCTGGACCTGTTCAAGGCTGCAAGGCCAACATTTGATGTTACTTGTGTACACACTTCAGAGGTGAACATACACCCGAAGGGGCATACATTGCAATGAAGTAAGAAGGTGTTGAGGTCCCAATCATCTCGCCTTCCTCTAAATACACCAACGTAATGTTATGTAGAGAATAAAACACATTCGATGTTTGTTTTAGATTTAAAACCCTCATTCGAGGGGTAAAACTGAGAGCCACGAGGTTTTATTCCAAGGTGAAACAATATTGATCGACACTTTAAAGTTTCAAACACACTTTACGTGAACAATAGGAAACGGACGTAAAATATCTGATGCTGGCGTACATGTGCTTGGAAAAGAAATTCTTTGAAACATTGTCGTTTCGTCAGTGTCTCTGTTGTCCCTTGGTTCTCTCATTAGGCAACATACATGAAGGATGCAATAAAGATGCACTGAAACATAAAGAAGTCATGTGATCTAACATCATTCCACACATTTCCCTATTTATATTGTGTTCAAATGCAAAATATATCTCAATCGGTGGGCATTCTGTAGAATATCCCTGGGACAGGGGGACTTTCTGTAGAATAACCCTGGGACAGGTGGACTTTCTATAGAATAACCCTGGGACAAAGAGACTTTCTGTAGAATATCCCTAGGACAGGGGGACTTTCTGTAGAATAACCCTAGGACAGGGGGACTTTCTGTAGAATATCCCTGGGACAGATGGACTTTCTGTAGAATATACCTGGGACAGGTGGACTTTCTGTAGAATATCCCTAGGACAGGGGGACTTTCTGTAGAATAACCCTAGGACAGGGGGACTTTCTGTAGAATATCCCTGGGACAGATGGACTTTCTGTAGAATAACCCTAGGACAGGGGGACTTTCTTCAGAATATACCTGGGACAGAGAGACTTTCTGTAGAATAACCCTAGGACAGGGGGACTTTCTATAGAATAACCCTAGGACAGAGGGACTTTCTGTAGAATATACCTGGGACAGATGGACTTTCTGTAGAATATCCCTGGGACAGATGGACTTTCTGTAGAATAACCCTAGGACAGGGGGACTTTCTTCAGAATATACCTGGGACAGAGAGACTTTCTGGTGAATATCCCCGGGACAGGGGGACTTTCTGCAGAATATACCTAGGACAGAGGGACTTTCTGTAGAATGTAGCTGGGACAGAGAGACTTTCTGTAGAATATACCTGGGACAGAGAGACTTTCTGTAGAATATACCTGGGACAGAGAGACTTTCTGCAGAATATACCTAGGACAGAGGGACTTTCTGTAGAATGTAGCTGGGACAGATGGACTTTCTGTAGAATGTAGCTGGGACAGAGAGACTTTCTGTAGAATAACCCTAGGACAGAGAGACTTTCTGTAGAATAACCCTAGGACAGAGGGACTTTCTGTAGAATAACCCTAGGACAGAGAGACTTTCTGTAGAATAACCCTAGGACAGATGGACTTTCTGCAGAATATACCTAGGACAGATGGACTTTCTGTAGAATAACCCTAGGACAGATGGACTTTCTGTAGAATATACCTAGGACAGAGGGACTTTCTGTAGAATAACCCTAGGACAGGGGGACTTTCTTCAGAATATACCTGGGACAGAGAGACTTTCTGGTGAATATCCCCGGGACAGGGGGACTTTCTGCAGAATATACCTAGGACAGAGGGACTTTCTGTAGAATGTAGCTGGGACAGAGAGACTTTCTGTAGAATATACCTGGGACAGAGAGACTTTCTGTAGAATATACCTAGGACAGAGAGACTTTCTGGTGAATATCCCTGGGACAGGGGGACTTTCTGCAGAATATACCTAGGACAGAGAGACTTTCTGTAGAATAACCCTAGGACAGGGGGACTTTCTATAGAATAACCCTAGGACAGAGGGACTTTCTGTAGAATAACCCTAGGACAGGGGGACTTTCTATAGAATAACCCTAGGACAGAGGGACTTTCTGTAGAATATACCTGGGACAGATGGACTTTCTGTAGAATATCCCTGGGACAGATGGACTTTCTGTAGAATAACCCTAGGACAGGGGGACTTTCTTCCGAATATACCTGGGACAGAGAGACTTTCTGGTGAATATCCCCGGGACAGGGGGACTTTCTGCAGAATATACCTAGGACAGAGGGACTTTCTGTAGAATGTAGCTGGGACAGAGAGACTTTCTGTAGAATATACCTGGGACAGAGAGACTTTCTGTAGAATATACCTGGGACAGAGAGACTTTCTGCAGAATATACCTAGGACAGAGGGACTTTCTGTAGAATGTAGCTGGGACAGATGGACTTTCTGTAGAATAACCCTAGGACAGATGGACTTTCTGTAGAATGTAGCTGGGACAGATGGACTTTCTGTAGAATATACCTAGGACAGAGGGACTTTCTGTAGAATAACCCTAGGACAGGGGGACTTTCTTCAGAATATACCTGGGACAGAGAGACTTTCTGGTGAATATCCCCGGGACAGGGGGACTTTCTGCAGAATATACCTAGGACAGAGGGACTTTCTGTAGAATGTAGCTGGGACAGAGAGACTTTCTGTAGAATATACCTGGGACAGAGAGACTTTCTGTAGAATATACCTAGGACAGAGAGACTTTCTGGTGAATATCCCTGGGACAGGGGGACTTTCTGCAGAATATACCTAGGACAGAGAGACTTTCTGGTGAATATCCCTGGGACAGGGGGACTTTCTGCAGAATATACCTAGGACAGAGGGACTTTCTGTAGAATATACCTGGGACTGAGGGACTTTCTGTAGAATATACCTGGGACAGAGGGACTTTCTGTAGAATATAGCTGGGACAGAGAGACTTTCTGTAGAATATAGCAGGGACAGAGGGACTTTCTGTAGAATATACCTAGGACAGAGAGACTTTCTGTAGAATAACCCTAGGACAGAGAGACTTTCTGTAGAATATAGCAGGGACAGAGAGACTTTCTGTAGAATGTAGCTGGGACAGAGGGACTTTCTGTAGAATGTAGCAGGGACAGAGGGACTTTCTGTAGAATATAGCTGGGACAGAGAGACTTTCTGTAGAATATAGCTGGGACAGAGAGACTTTCTGTAGAATATAGCTGGGACAGAGAGACTTTCTGTAGAATATAGCAGGGACAGAGAGAATTTCTGTAAAATGTAGCTGGGACAGAGAGACTTTCTGTAGAATATAGCTGGGACAGAGGGACTTTCTGTAGAATGTAGCTGGGACAGAGAGACTTTCTGTAGAATGTAGCTGGGACAGTGAGACTTTCTGTAGAATATAGCAGGGACAGAGAGACTTTCTGTAGAATGTAGCTGGGACAGAGAGACTTTCTGTAGAATGTAGCTGGGACAGAGAGACTTTCAAAAGAAGATCTGTGAGAAATGAAGACCCCGTAAAAGTAACAGGATGACGTCAGTAGGGGTTTATACAAAAACTATTGTCCAACACACTTTATATTTTACCTCCAGCTCTGTTATTCGACGTGTTAAAATGTGTGTACAGTGTGTGGATTTTATGTATATGACACTGACATCCGTTGTGCATCGTTTACCCTATGGGAAATGTGTGTACAGTGTGTGGATTTTATGTATATGACACTGACATCCGTTGTGCATCGTTTACCCTATGGGAAATGTGTGTACAGTGTGTGGATGTTATGTATATGACACTGACATCCGTTGTGCATCGTTTACCCTATGGGAAATGTGTGTACAGTGTGTGGATGTTATGTATATGACACTGACATCCGGTGTGCATCGTTTACCCTATGGGAAATGTGTGTACAGTGTGTGGATGTTATGTATATGACACTGACATCCGTTGTGCATCGTTTACCCTATGGGAAATGTGTGTACAGTGTGTGGATTTTATGTATATGACACTGACATCCGTTGTGCATCGTTTACCCTATGGGAAATGTGTGTACAGTGTGTGGATGTTATGTATATGACACTGACATCCGTTGTGCATCGTTTACCCTATGTGAAATGTGTGTACAGTGTGTGGATGTTATGTATATGACACTGACATCCGTTGTGCATCGTTTACCCTATGGGAAATATGTTCTTCCTCTAAAGTAGTACGCATAAGAACGCATTACTTGAACACGAAGTGTTGTACTACAATGCATGTATACATCCGCGCTACCCCGTGTCAGGATAATAAAAACACGGCTTCCCATAAAATCCTATCTTATGTCGACCTGAGTCGCTTTTTGAGTCCGTGAGGTGGGGCAGTGTCACCTGACCCCGTCACGGACCCGGTCGACCCAACATTTTCGGGGTTAGGTGACGAAGCATAACGCGCTATTGTCCTCCCCCACTGCTGGTTCTCGGCGGCATGTACACCGGCAAGTACACCAGGCAACGGCAGCGTGCGTGAGGACGATGGATCGCTCAACACCAGGCAGTGTTGCGCTGACCGGAGTGTGTGTTAACCAGAGCGGGGGACGTTATGCAACACGTGGGGTCAGTACATCCAGCGTGCTGGCCGCGCGCTGACCCAGCACCCTCGCTGACCACATCACAGACAGAGGCACGGTGTGTTATTGCGCTCAGGAAGATAAAAATCTCCATTACCAAAGCCGCTATGGCAGAAGTACTGTGTTAAATCCAACAAAAATGCAAATTATCGCGGTGCTTGGTCTCAAAAGGTTGCCGTGAAGGAAAAACGGTTAATGG